TATATAATCTGAGAGAGAGAGATCTATATAACATCTTAAAACAATCATGATCATCACATTCTAAAAGAACACTGTAAAAGGTCATTCATACAAATCAGATCCAGTCCCAAGGACAAACCTTGAGGCTGCCCCGCCACCCAGCACAGACCTGTCACAGCGCTGCACACACACACACCGATCAGAGTCTCAGCCTAGGACAACCAGCCGGGGTCACCAGCTGTACACTGTCACCAGCCCTCCCCCTATGTCACTACACCCTGCACAGAGCTCCAGGTCCCCGGCTTCTCCCGTCTGCTGCGACCCCCGGCCGTCCCTCACCTTCTGCCTGCCCAGCAGGGAGCTCTTGGCTGTCAAATTCCTCAGGACTTGTCCTGCCATGGAAGCCGCCATGTCTAACCGGAAGCGCCAGAGAAGCTCCACATGGACAGGCAGAGCGAGCGTGGAACGTCCTGGCCCGCCGGACACGCCCTCTCTCGCGCGCGATTGGTTGTTTCCTTCCAGCTGTCAACACGCCCCTCCCACAGGTGTTGCTCAACTTTCTCCCCTGAGCTAAACTTTCTGTTCAGTCAATCGGGTACAGGAATGTGTTACATCGGTGGAGAGTATTATCACCAATGTAACATTATAAAACATATCTTATCCCATGTGACATTATAGAACATATTTCCCCCATGTAACAATATAGAACATATTTCCCCCATGTAACATTATAGAACATATCCTATCCCATGTAACAATACAGAACATATTTCCCCCATGTAACATTATAGAACATATTTCCCCCATGTAACATTATAGAACATATTTCCCCCATGTAACAATATAGAACATATCCTATCCCATGTAACAATACAGAACATATTTCCCCCATGTAACATTATAGAACATATTTCCCCCATGTAACAATATAGAACATATCCTATCCCATGTAACAATACAGAACATATTTCCCCCATGTAACAATATAGAACATATCTTATCCCATGTAACAATATAGAAACATATATTCCCTAGACATGTAAGCAGCAGAAAAATTCAGTTTGGTTCGGATATTTTGTTATTTCGGAATTCGGATCCAAGATTCAACTCGGTTCGGGTTTCGGATTTGGACAATCCCTAGCAGCCGCCCATCTACTAGCTTGGAGAAGGAAAGGGGGGGGGGAGGGGGGGCATAGAGCCTTCATGTGCCTTTAAAGTGACATTAAAGTCAAAACAAATTTTTATACATTTTTCCCTCCCCCCCCCCATGTTAATGTTAGCACTGACCTTAAATGATGTCTCTTACTCCGATCTTCTTCTTCTTTCCTGATGTTTTCATCTGTCCCTCCAGCAGTGCGGCGGCTCTCCGATCCAGCGGTGTCTGCATGCGGGTGCACGCGTCCTTTGACTTACCTTTGCGTCTCTGCTCATCTCCCGGCCGAGAATCCGAACTGCGCATGCGCCCGCCCCAAGATCCTTTGCGGCCGCACGAGCACTTCCTGATTTTCAGGGTGGGAGCGTGCAGCGATAACTAGGTAAGTTTAAACCTCTGTTAAAGCAGGTTTTTTTTTTTTTTTTACTTTTTGCCTATATCTACTGCCTGCTAGCAGTAGATATAGGCAAAAAAACAGAGGGTTTAGAACCCCTTTAAGTTTGTAGAGGCACATGCAGCTTGCTAGCACAAGGGTGGATCCATAGGACCCCGCAAAGGAAAGGAGCCACCCTAAAACAGGATATCAGGGCCAGTCAGAGACGTCGCAAGGCAGGGTGACACCCGGTGCGGGTACCGGATGACACCCAGCATTAAAATCATTGCGCATGCGTGTGACGGCACGCACTGTACCGCTCTTACCTGACGGTGGCCGTCTTGGCGTTGGACGCCGGCAGAGAGAGGAGGGGACATTACCCGGCGGGATGAGGTATGCCGCCGGGTCCCCTCCTCTCTCGAGCAACTGTCGGGCTCTCGGTCCTTGAACGACTGCCCGACTTTTCAGAGGGGGGTGACACCAAAATGACCGGGTGTCACCCGGGTGCAGGCTGCAAGCCCCCCCCCCCCCCCAACCCCCCTGAGGCGCCCACCGGGGGGGGGCCCCCCGCCCCCCCCCCCCCGCACCCTCCTTGTGACGCCACTGGGGCCAGTGCTAAGGGGACCAACCGATTATACAGGAAACTAAAGCCTTTAAACATCAATGAACAGCATCCATTGTTAGTGATTTATTCAGCATCTGAAATAGCTTAAAGACCTTTTGATTTTAATATCACTTTAAATGTGGAGCTCTCACCCTGAATACTGCATCCCGAAACTCAGGAAGTTCTCCAAAGCCTCATGTGGATTTTTCTGTGAATTCTGTGTGCAATGATGAACTCAGGATTCTCTGAGCTGGCTGTGTGCCTTTCCTAGAAGACTACAGCAAGCAAATAGTTACTAGTTCACAAGCAGCCAGATTGTTAAGGCTTTGCATCCCTTGGTTTAGCAGAGGGAGATATATTGCAGCTGTGATAATGTTCATTGAAAATATGCATTTATGTTGGGTTTGAGATGAACATTTGCATTAATTGTTTACGCTTATATCTGTTGTTTATAGTTTTCACGGTGCTTGAATGGTTAATGAATATTATTAACATAGTATTAAAGGAGAACTATGGGGTTAAGGCTTTTCCCCATAGTTCTCTTTAGGGTAACGGGAGGACACAAACTAGCGTCCTCCCGTCACCCTAAGCTCACGTATACTGAGACGCCGCAGCCGAAGCGGATCCCAACAATTATGTCTGGATCCGCCCAGCTGCGTGAGTGACAGCTGGCTCTGCCTATCTAGAGGCAGAGCCAGCTGTACCCGTCCCCTCCCCCGTCCGAACCGCCAGTCAGCGCTGGCGGATGGGAGAGGGGAGGGGGGAATCCAGCCCCTCCCCTGTCACGGCAGAGGGCTGTGACAGGATCGAGAGGTGAGTGAACGCCTGTATGTGTTCGCTCACCTCCCGATCTACTGAGCCGACCTGTGACAGTCTCATTGTCACAGGTCGGCTAGAACTATGAGGTGAGTGAAAAGCACTCACCTCATAGTTCTCCTTTAAACAGTTACAGGAACTGGGATGCTCCATCACCGCAGACACGTGGTCTCAGATTTGGCTAACAACCTCTCGGAGTTCGATGAACGTACAGGCTGTGGAAGCTAACTACAAATTGCTCTTTAGGTGGTATTGGTGCCTCTTCGGATCTCCAAATCCATTCCATCTTAGGCTGGGTTCACACCTAGGCGTAACGAATATGCGCGTTTGGAGCACGATTCGCGGTAAAAAAAACGCGCGTTTCCGAGGGCTACCTGGCTGTATCCCAATGGATACGCGCAAAAAAAAACCCAAAGAAGCTCCTGTACTTCTTTGGGCGTAGGGCGTTTTGTAGCGCGTTCGTACGGCCTGTAATACGCCCAGGTGTGAACCATACCCATAGGAAATAATGGGATTTCTGTGTTTGAGCGTTTTGCAGAGCGTAGGAATGTGCTACAAAACGCCCAGGTGTGAACCGGGCCTAACTCATCAAATTGCTTTAAGGGTTGCCGGCTGGGGGGCTCAGTCTTTCACATTTGGTGGTCTTGTCCCAAGACAAAAAGATTCTGGAGTAAAGTCTATCAACTCTTGTATACTGTAACGGGTAAGACTTTCCGTAAGGGCCCCGGAGAAGCCTTACTAGTGAAGAAATCACAGGTGTGTACAGCTCGCCATTTTGGACTGATCACCTTTATCCCACAGAAGCTAAAAGGGTTATTGCGAGGGGTGGAGGTCCCCTAACATACCTTTTGCTGAAGTTAGAGGGTATCCAGAGTCATGTTCTTTGAAAAACCTGCTGCAATCCAACATTCTGTAGTGAAATTTCAGAAACTGTGGGAGCCCTGGATTGAGTTTCACCTCCTTCCACATGGATTCCTGGACAATTTAATAATCTCCTTCCCTTGACGAACAATCTACAGTTTTTTTCCCACCTCCCTCTCTCTACTCCCTACTTCTTCTTCTCTTTTTCTTATCCTCTCTCCCCCTCTCTGACCAAATCTATAAAGTAGAACTGAAGCCCAAACAATGTTTTTTAGTTTTTAATAGAGTAAGGGAGGGTTATAACCTCTGAAACCTTTTTTTTTACATCTTTGTTCCATTGCTAAGATTTCCCTTCACTTCCTCTCCAGTAGCCACAACAGGAAGTGAGAGGAATCCCTGCAAAGTGGGTCAGCAGAACTAGTGTCCCCAATGGAAGATTTACAATCTATTCCTGTTATGATGACAGCCCAAAATGTGGGATTTTCTTTCACTTTCAATTATAACAGTTACCAGGACAAATAGGGTGAATCTCCTAACGGGGACACATACAGCAATAAAAACCTGACAGGTGTTCTAATCCCTCTCCAATTTGATTACACATTAAGCCCAATTGCAATCAAATTATTTTTCTACTTTTGGAAAGGGCATTTAAGTGTCAAAAGCTCTGTAAGGTTTTTATTCTTTTCTGTGCACTCCACTTAGGAGACACAGGACACGATGACAGTTTTCTCCAATGGGAACAGAGAGCACTAAAAGCACTTTTTTTTCTTGGGAAGGATTAGAACCTCTATCATCATTTGCGTTGCTGTTTTCCTCTTCCTGTGACACCCATTCCCTCCATTTGTTGTCCTGGTGTCATTGAAACAGGAAGTGAGGAAAAAGGCAGCAATTAAAAACACAGAGGGTCTAACTCTTTCCCACTATGTCCAAAAATTAAAGAAAAATTGGGTTTTAAAGAAGAACTCTTGGTATAAAAAAAATTAACCCTTGCAGTGGGACTAACCGGCTAACCGGCCAGCTGTCAAGATGCTCTCTCCAGCCTTTCCCCTCCATCGCAGCCCACACAGGGAGACAACCCCCCCCCCCCCCCCCCGCACTGCAAGGGTTAAGTGCGTGTTGCAGTCTAGGAGCTAAATTAGAGAAAATACACTCACCTGATCCTCGATCTGGCCTCTCGGTTTAGTTTTGGTTTTAAACATTTCATTTCGATGCACCTCTACTTTAAACAATGTCTAGAAGTAATAATATAGTACATTTTTTAAATGCCCGGAGTTCTTCTTAAAGATACCTTCGGCTTTCTGTTACTTATGACCAAGATCTAAAAGTTCCGAAACTCCTTCATGGAAGGCAAAGATCCCCGATGAAAGTGCCTGGAGAACGTCAATCCTTTCAGGGCAGAGTGCCTTGGCCTCGGCTTTGGACTTGTTGATTTTCATTTCCGGTGCTTCAAAGACAGCATAAAACCTGCGCAAGGGCGAGCTGCAGATCACAGCTGGATGGGACATAAAATGAATGAGAAATCCAATAAAGTGAAGCACCCTTCAAATGCTGCAGCAGGTGCAGACTCAGCAGCAGATCTCTCTTCTCTAAATTTAGTTACATAGCTACATAGTATTTGGGGTTGAATAAAGACACAGGTCCATCAAGTTCAACCTTTGTGTGTGT